AATTTTTGCAATCTATATTTACTAATCGAACCTTCTAAGTTGGAGAAGAATAAGTTAATCTACCATTAGGCAGAATTTGTAATAATTTGAAAAAATATTTCTGTGATTCTTTTGAAAATGAATTATTCTCTACGTTGCATTTTTCTAATGAAATGTATTCGAAATTCTTTTTGTTACTCTAAAAGTGTTTACGTTATTATTCAAACGCAGGCATCGTACGGTTTTAATGTTAAATGGCTATTTATAGATGCAAAATTAAATTCTGAAATTGATTACTCCCTTTCTTATTTCGTTTTTTGCTTTCCTTTTCCATTTTATTTACTGATAAGTATCTTCAAGTCTCAGTCTCCTTTTTTGTTATAAAAATATTAAAAATAACATCAGCAACTTTGTATTACTTGCATTTTACAAATCAATAGAAAACTACACATAATCGTTCTACTCAATCTTTGAAACATAGAACTACACATTTTTTTCTTTCCTGCTACACCTTTCTAAATCTTTACCTAACTTTCCATAAATTTTTCACAGACGTAGTATAAAAGTTTTCAATTAGAGTTTTAGGAAGGATATGATATTGGTATGTCACCTACTTATTAGAAATCAAATTGCTCAATAGTAAGAAATTTTTTTTAACCGAATAACTTTTGAATTTTGTTTCAGTTTGATTTCATATCTTTACAAAACACTCTTTACGCTAACTTAACGTTATTGTAGACTCTGATTTCTGGTCAATCTGGCATACTAAAGCTGACCAGTCACCTCAGAAATCTAAAAAATTGGCTTCAAAATTGGTTATAAAATTTCTAATTTGACATTTGAAATCTCGCTACCTTAACTTTCCGATTAAATTTTTCTGAGCAAAAGAAATACCGAGAAATATTTCGCGAACTTTCAAAGCAAAGTTTACAATTGTGTGCGAAAATTTGCGATTCGCTTAAAAAGTTCTCGAGATGCAGCGAAGTATGCAAAACGTGAAGTTATTATTATGGGGTCAAAACTTGTGACCGCTCTCTTGACCAAACTAACCATATTTCCTAGATTTTACTACCCCTTCCCCACACAGTGAGGCCCAGAAACTGAAGCCCCCCTCCAAAAAAAATTTGTTTATTCGAGGAAAGTAAATTTTTTGTCTCTAAATTCGTATATTTAAGAAAAAAATCGTCATATTTCAGGTTAGGTTCTTTAACAATTAATGTTTAGAAGGTGTGTAAAAATCTGATCATCATATTAAAAGTTATTAACTTTTGAGGGCACTGTCCATCAGAAGCTTAACTAAAATTTTATTTATCAAAAGATATGTTCTCAAAAGCTTAATCAAATGATTAATTATAAAAAGCTTAATCAAAAGGTTATTTACAAAAGCTGTACTCTATGTTCTGCTACAGTGTTAAAATTTTAAAATTATTGCCACAAATTTAAAACACTTAGAAATTAAGCTATGTAGTATGAAAAATATTTATATGAGTAATGATGTTTATTTTTCTATGGAACTGTAATGTGGGAAATTTCTAGACCTATTGATTATTATTAAGCTTACCAAATTCTGCGAAACGAAGATGGAATCATTTTTTTTATTTGATGTAAAATTAAAAGAAAAAGTATTTAATTTAAATAAAAACAAGTATTAATAAGCAAAAATAAGTATTAAAACTAATCAGTTTCAAATTGCTTCTTCTAATTAATTGCGAGTTCTCTTGTGTTAAAAATTCTACAGCCGATTCATATAAAATTAATATCTAACACCGGATTTGCAAAACAAATTTTAATAGAACGCTGATATAAAAAGCTTCATCTTCTTCCACTAACAAGTTTTCCTTTTCTCCTTTAGAAGCACGAAAACAAGTTTTCAAATTTATGACCGTTTCTTGTAAGAAACGAAAAAGGAGAATTTGATGAACCGTTTCTAATTAAATTGTTGGTTAAAGTAATTATCTTAAACAGAATTAGATAACCTTAGGGAAAGAGAAATGAAGCATCTACTACTTTTTTGTTGTTGTTGTTGAATTTTTCAGACATATTCAAGCCCAATCCTATCCCGCATTTTCCCTAGTGAGTGTTTATAAACTAAACCATTGTATTTGTTGCTTGTTTTTTTAAATTCAAATAATAAATAAAAGCTGTTCTCGAGCAATGTTTGTGTAATGCATTATACCAAACAACGTGTAGATGGAGTAAAAAAAGTATTATGTTTATTTGTGATAAGTTGAGCGAAATTAAAGAATGCTTGAGCAAACTAAATTGTAATGTGATATTCCTTGCATGAAAATGTGAGCGAAAAATTATGAGGGATATGTTAGAAAATAGAAACAATTTCAATTTGTTTTTTTGAAAGTATTGTTTTTAAAGTTATGATAGAAACAGATGTAGCAACAGCAGGTTTGCTTCCTACTCTTTTTATCATTCATAATTATAGGCAGTGAAAAGTAATTTATTTTCATCCCTGCGGTCCTTTTTTTATTTTATTTAATAAAAACATAATATTCTTCAAATAGTTAAGTTCTTTAGCAAGAAATTCTGTTTTGAATTCATGTTATATATTTTGCTTTACTTAAGAAATTACGTGAAATATATTTTATTAAAGTAATTTTTTTCAAGTTATATGATAAGAACAGATGTAGCAGCAGGATTGCTTTTACATTTTTTTTAATCAATAATATTACAGACAATGGAAAGTAAACTATTTTCCACATTCTGATTTGTTCCAGCTTTGTAATTGATGAATGCGGAGTAATCCTCAAATAACTCTATTTTATGTAATAAAAGAGGTAATAGAAGAACAAAAATTTTGATTTGTTTGAAAGAAATATTTTTAAAGATCGAAACAAATGTAGAAGCAGGTTTACTTCTTTTAATCATTAATAAACATAGGATGCATATGCAATTTTTCTTCCCCTACTAGTAGTCTTTTCCAAGATTTTTTTAAACAAGAATGTATTATTTAACAAGTAATTCTATTTTATATTTTATTTCCTATAGTGTATTATAAAAGGGATCTAATACAATATGAAAATAAATCCTATTTCTGTAAGTAATGTTTTTTAAGTTATGATAGAAACATGTTCAGCAAATGGTTTGTTTACACTTTCTTTGATCATTAACTAATGTGGAAAATATTATTATATTAACGATTATTTACCCCCTGGAGTTCTTCGCACTATTTCTGAATAATCATGGAGAAAAAAAAAAGTATGGTCAAAACTGTGGAGATAGAATATGGGAGAATAAACCCCGTTTCTTGCTCTTCGGGAACTCTAAAATGCTTGATAATTTTTACCGAAGCGCTTTCGTAATAAATTTGGTAAAATTAGCAATAAAGTATGGTTTGTGATAAAGTTTGGTAATTTTATCATGATACCTTAAAGAATATCAACAACACCATTTATTTGATTAAATTTGCATGTTACTTTTGTGTTTTTCTTAAGTTTTGTAGTAATAAGAACTATAATTTTGAAAAGCAGAATTCCTCTTAAACCTTTACCATATGAACGGAAAAATCCCTAAGCGAATGGTTTAAATACCGTATAATTTGGCTTTTAATACCTCAATAATAGGTTTTTTTTTTTCAAGAAATGTTATAACCATACAATATGGAAATTTTACGAAATGTTTATTCTCTGTTTATGTTCCATAAATAAATCTGGCGTTTCTAGAAATTTTTCTCTTTAAAACAATAAAGTGTAGCATTTCTTTTTCCTCTGTAATGATGATAATGATTTAAATGGCTTTATTAGAAACATTATATTTAAATTTGCACACAAAGAAAAAATGAGAAAATGATAATTGTGTATAGTAATAACATTTTACTTTGTATATTCAAATACGAAATTTCTGAATATTTAAATAATTTAATGCAATATTAATAAATTGAATTAAATATTTTAAAGTATTAAAAGTAATAGACTTAAGTTGAATATATAAAAACAAATCTTTATCGGAGATTGAACTTATATTTTAAATCTTAAACATGATTTAAATATAAGTTTAATCTCCCTTCTCGATCATATGTATAAAAGTACTCTATTTGGATATCTCATTGTATTTTAACAAAAATACTTTGACCAAAATATTCTCTATACAAAATGCAGTATATTGAAATATTTTAAAATTAAAAATACTGGAATTAGGCTAAAATTTTGTAAAAACTTTTTTAAATATGATCTAACTTACACGAAAAAAATGGTAAAACTACCGTACTTTATGACAGTGGCATTTCTGATAATAAAAAACAAGTTACACGGTATTTAAACCGTTTATTTTGTAATTTTACTGTTCATATGGTAACGATTTAGCAACAATACTATTATTTAAAGTTATAGTTCTTATTACAGTACATTCAGTAAAAAAATACACAAATTAAAAGTAAATTTTAACCGAAAAATTGTTTTTATGCCACGCTTTAGGATATTTTGATAAATTAACTAAATTTTATCACATTCACCAAATTTTATCACACATTACTAAACTGCATTTTGTTGTTAATTTTAACAAAAACATTACCGAAGCGATTCTTTAAATATTACCTAGCTTTTTGGTGTTTTCATAGTGCTAGAAATACGGTTAATTTTATCTTATTCCAATTGATTTGACGGTACTTATTTTAAAATGAATATATTCATAATTGATGCATGGATAATTCATGCATAATTCTTTTTATAATTGCAAATAGTTACTACAATAGTGCATCGCGTTATGTAACATAATAAGGTAATGTAATTATGTTATGTAATTTTTGTGTTACGGTAATGATGAATAGTAATCATGCATAATCATGCCCGCAATGGTAAAAACTCCATATGTTATAATTACTACAAACTACTACCATATGTTATAATATGCATTTCTACCATATGCTATAATTACTTTATTTTTAAATTACATTTTATGCTTAACACTTCATTTATTTAATGCAAACAATTACTTGCTTTACGTGTTATTTGTGAAGGATTAAGTTGGATGAAATAGTTTGAAAAATTTAAAATGATAATGCTTATACTTACGAAAACCATTCAAATCCTGTCAATGTTGTGGCTTTTTATACTTGTTTAATCTGCGCATTCAGATTACTCAAAAGGCAGAATCTATAAAGTATAAAAACAAGAATTTACTTTTTGCATTTTTTTTACAAATTTTCTAAAAATTTAAGTAATATATTTGTCATTTTACACTTCGGATAAATATTCGGATTGGAAACTTATTATGAAGCTAAAATAAGCATAATAAGGTAATTAAGCATAATAAGCTAGAATAATAATAATAATAATAAATAATGATAATAGTAAATAATAATAATAAGCTAAATAATAAATAAGCATAATTAGCTAAATAAGCTACAATAAGCATAAAATAAGTATAATGTAAAGCATTTTGGACATTTAATATGTGCAACAAAGAAACGTTTATTAGGATTGATAGATTGCTGGGAAGCAAAAAGTGCTTTTTGAGATTTAATTATCGGACAACAAGAAAAAGGAAATATTATGAGACAAAAAATGCATTACCCATTAATTTTGTGACATATAAAAAAAAACATATTGGATAGTTATTAATTATGAATCAAAAAAGAATATTATGCAGTTTTTGAGGCAACAAAAAGTTACTTAATAAAAAAAAACTGATTTGACTTCAAAAATATGCAGATGGAATTAAAAGTCAACATGTTTCAAGAGCTCAAAAATAGGCGTCCATTTTCAAGACTTGCCAGATGTGAATAAAGAGAAGCAAAAGTGATTTGAAAATTCAAGCGCAAAATTGCCAACGAAAAATGGAAAATAAAGGTGAGTAATAAAGGCACAGTAGCCGGGAGTGAAACAAAAACAAAGCAAAAAAATGAAAAATGAAACCAATAAAAGCTACTGTGGTCGAGAGGGGCGAATCAGAAGTAAAATGCATTTCCACGAGCTATACAGAGGTAATGAGGAACAAATGTCATTATTATGTTCATATGAAGGAAACATCATCAAGAGCTGATCATCATTGAGCTGATGTGACTAGGTGAGAAATAATTTTGCATAATTATAATAAAGTTATACCTAAGATTCTAATAGTGTGCAACAATTGATGATTTTTGATGATTCTTGATAACAGACATAATCTATCGTGTTCTCTTAGTTCTAAATTTTTCTTATAACTTGACAATGTTGGAGACTTTATTAGATGGTTTTTACTTAAAAGGATTTCATCATTATTTTTTTTAATATTTCTTCTGTATATTTTTGAATATTGTGTACTTCAATTCTAATCTAATTAATAATTTATATAAATTTTGAAAAAAAAATCACTCAAGTGATTAATGGAATTTTAAATAAATCGCATAATGATCCAAGTATCTGATTTAATTCATCAGAGAAATAAATTTGTTTTAAATATCTACTGCAGTTTCAGAAATCAGAAGTTAACATTCATAATTGTTTTTTAAAAGTGAGTAAAGATAAAGTGAGTAAAGATAAGCGGTGTATAGTGAATAAAGTTATAATCGCTTCCATGTTCCTTGACAATTCGCTGAATCTCGCATTGCTGCAAATTAGTTCTGCATTATTTATATCTAAGCATTAAATAATTCTTTTGGTACTTCTAGCTGTACATGTAGATTTATAGGTTGCAAAAATTCCCCTAGACAGCAAAAGAAAGATAACCGAATGGCGTTAATATGGCTCTTAGGGGAACAATTTAATTTGCGCAAAATACAAGCTTACAACACAGATTACCTAGACGGGAAATTGCCATTACAAACGCCCAAGATTCATAATGAGCCTTGCATATATTTAAAGGAATCGTACGAAACATTAAATTCATTTTCAGAGGCCTTTTAAAACTTTTCTAAATTTTTACTTTTAGGGAAAGCGAAAAGTACTATAAGATAAATGCGGCGAGGAACGCTTTGCAACTTCCCTTTCCAGGGATAACTTTCACAGAAACTTTAATAGTCGCCAAGTACACCCCAAAATTGAGCTCTCTTCACTTCGTTTTGCCATCTCCATTAAAGGGAACATTTTCGCCATTTTTTTCCTTTTCCGATATGAAAAATCGATGTTCTCTAGATTTTTCCCCTTCTCACTTTTTCTATATTTTCGAATCCAAGAAGGGTACACGAAAAAAAAAAAAAAAATACATATCGTTTTAAATGGAACGCGATAGAAGGAAGGAAGTGTGGGGTGAGGAAAAGAAAGTGTTCTTCCGGTTATTCATTTGCATACATCCTAGGGGTAGTTCCGCTCACAGAATAGAACGTTCTTGTTGTTACAGACATATTTTCCGCTTCCGTGTACGAAGAAAGGTAGCACTTTCTTCCAATTTCGAGACAGAAAACTTTCAACAAATTTCGACTACGCACGCAAGAATAGAACTGAAAGTATTTTCGAACTCTGCTGGAATTTCTTTCTTTTTTTTCTTCTTTTTTTTTCAAATTTGTTTCGTTATACTTTTTTCTTTTTTTACTTTCTTTTTTTTTTACCCCGGAGCTTTTAACAGAGAAAAAGAAGAAAGTTGAATATCTTCAAATGTAATGGAAGGTGCTATCGGGTGTGGGGCGGCATCGATCGGGCGGTCAGCAGCATCATCATCTCAGAGCCTCCAGGGGTTTTCGGTAAAGAGAGAAAATAAAAAAGAAAAAGTTGAAAATAAAAAAAGAAAATGATTTTCTTATTTGTTTTGTTTTACCACAGAAGCGTGATAACAAAAAATAAAACAGCAAAATCTTTTTTTTTTCCTATGACATTTTGATCGAATTTGTTTTTCTTATTTTTTCTTTTAAAACTGTTAATTTTGTAGAGTAACTCGAAATGAATGACGGTTATCCAAAGGGTAATGGGGATTGGATCCGCTCTACCATGAATCCAGCGTATCTACCCGGGCACGTTTATAGATTGCGATTAATATCGGAGAATGAAAAGCATCAGCGAGAGTGCTATTTAATCGATTATTTTACGAGAAGCCGTGTTCAGTGGCGGTTATTTTTGTTGCTTTAGAGATTTTGAGATATTTTAGTTTTATTATATACGATGTTCATAAAAATAGATAACAGGCTATTTTGATTCAGAAGTTGCGCTTGAAATACCCCCAGAGTAGTATCTATTATAATCGTTCGAAATAATGCAACCCAATTATTTTGAAAGATTAATAAACTTATATAACAATATAAAATTTCAAGGTAATAAGTTTTATTAAAATATATAAATGAAATAGGCATAACATATTTCTCAACAATTAAAAACTAAATTATTATCTTATTTAATCGCTTTTCAATAAATGAAAATTATAAATGTAATCGGTAATCTTTTCATACCACAATCTTGAATTTAATGTGGAATAAGTTCGATTTTTAGAATTTCTCACTACATCTACCTAACACATTAGCATGGAATTTGAAAACCGTTATATGGTTGCTAATGTTTTGAATTCATTAAAATTCGTTATTATTTCCCGAAATTTCCTTTTCGCCAACACATTTGAATGCGTAATGCTAAGAAAAAGAACCTTGGCAATATATTAAATCAGTTAATAGCCAAATCTAGGAGAGCTAGATTTTCCTTCTTTTGATTTTTAGCCCTGCAGCCATACCCTCTGGGCCATTTTTCCAAATTTTTTTAACATTTACTAATTTATATGTGCATAAAAATAAAGATTTCTCTTTACTTTGACGCTCCATATTTTCTAAAATAAAATATTTTTTTTATTATTTATTATAATTTGATTCTTGGAATAAGGAACAATTGAAAATAAATATCATCATCAACATTCTTCTCCAACAAACAGTAATCATAAACTACCAAATTTTTATCTCAAATATTTTTTGTCTTCAAAAATATTTTCACTACGTATATGGTGCCATGAATTCTGTCTCTTAGTTTATTTATTTACTTTCTTTAAAATTTCATCAAATACATCTGATAAACGACTGAAACTTGTGACATCATCTAGCACGGAGCCTCCGTTAAAAATTTTTAGTTCCAGCTTACAAAGTGATTGAAGTTTCAACTCACGTTAAATTTACCTTTTTAATAATATCACGATAAATTTTGCTCAAAGAGGTTGGGAAACAATTTAAACTCGTATTGTTATTAAGATCGGAGATATTCTCTAGTAGTTTAGTAATATGAATATAATCAAAATTTAGGTTGCAATATTCTATCATTACACAAACACGAAAATAAAAATAAAATTAACTGAAACGTAGTAAGGAAAAGAAGTGCATTATGCGTGCTGAAACACATTCATGAGATTACAATCAAAGTTTGTGAACGGAATGACTATACCCGATAAAAAATACATGATTTATATTGTAGGTATATTATCACAAATAATATATTAAAAGAAAATTGAAAATATTAAATTTTATTAAAAACTGTTGTAAAATATATAATAACGGCTGTTTTGTGATTTGAAAAATTTAAAAAACAAATTGCACACTTGGTTCAACTTTATTACTTTTTTTATTAGCCAAAACAATTAACTCCAACAGTCATAAGCAAATTGTATATTGGCGATTACGTTTTAGCAATTTTTACTTATTAATTCTATATACTATTGTTGCTTCGCAATTTCAACTTTTTGTTTCATGAGGTAGATCCAGTTGGACAGTAAAGGGTTTAAATAATGATAATTTTTGCAGTACAGAAAGAAAGATGATAAAATCACAAAATTATTCCACGCATGAATGGAATATCAATAAATTAGAAAGATTGGAGGTTTTTTGTTTTGAATTATATCGGAACGAAAAAAATTAAATATAAACTGATTGACGCATACAGCTGTTTGAATGCTATAAACAAGCATCAGTCTCTGTTGCAGTTCATAAACTGTTTTACAATACATTGATTCATTACTGAGGCCTGAAACAACTAATTATTTTAACAGTTTTTAATTTAAATTGAGACCATATCTACCTAACGTTAATTCCAATAGAAATTAGGCTTGAATCTGCATAATTTGAGACAGAATAAACTAATTTCTACTATTTTAACAAATCACTACTGCTCAATTTTTAACGTGGCAGGTTTAAAATTGATTTCACAGAGGGACTAAACACTTTGGAATTATATTCTATTCATCGTAATGAAATAATTTTTGATGATACATTGTTAA